GTTTTACCATGCCTGGCTGCGCCCAATAATACAGTGCGTTTTGTGTATGTGTCAAATACAGAAATAGCACCCGTTACTGAGACTGCGCCCAACCATGCGTTCTAAGCTGCCGTATGTTTTACCATGCCTGGCTGCGCCCAATAATACAGTGCGTTTTGTGTATGTGTCAAATACAGAAATAGCACCCGTTACTGAGACTGCGCCCAACCATGCGGTGCGCCGAATGGTCGTGAAAATACGGTAGTCTCTTATTTCTCTCCCGAAACAGTGTCTTCTCCCGCTTTGTGTACCTTAGCCTTCTCCGCTATGTACATTTTCTGTACATAGCTTGTAATGGAGGCTCTCGCTGGCAATTCGTAGTGGAGCCGTTAGATGCAATGCGAATGATTTCAGCTTGAGTGTAGCTGTGGAGAATGTTTACAGGCTTGCATGCAGTAGCCATACATTTAGCTATGGCTTCAGCAAATTTGTTCTTCGTTGTGTTATCCATTTTATTCGCTTTGAAATTATCCATAGCTGTCTTAGACGAGGGGTCGGAGTACTCACATCAGCTATGTGCTTTTCCATTAAGCGGTATTTCAGACTCGACGTGCGATGATGATAGCTCAGTTTACGACTGCAAAACACACAGGTAACTTTGGTCTTGTAAGTGGAACCATCTGGCAACTTTTTAAAAGTACACTTCCTATTCATAAATTCTTTAAGTGTCCGTTTTCGGTGTCTCGCGCTGCCGTGGCTGGCAAAACAGACATGTGCAACGCGCTTGTTGTTTTGTTTCCGGTTTATATTTATAGAGCAACGTAACATCCGCTGTGACGTGTTGCCGCATTAATCTCGTGATAAAAAACTTAATCACGTTGAAATTTATTTAAATTAATGCCGATAATAACGCGCTAAACTGACAGCTCTAATATATATGTATGTATGTATGTATAAGGTGCTACACTTGAATCATTAGAGTTTGATTGACTAAAATAGAGGATAATACTCTGAATCGAACACACATATACACACACACACACAATTCACAGTGGACTTCTTTATATGAAGTAATTTCTACTGAACATAGCGGTTAAACTCAAGATTTTACACTACATGAAACTTAACTAAAAGAAGGCACAAAAAGGTGAATAAGAGAAAATGAGAGGGTGATGGACCGTTATTCTCCCCAAGAGAAATAAAACCTTGTGGGTCTCTTTGTTGAGAATGACGGTAGCTGGTTGAAATCACGTAAGGTTGCTCTTGTAAGAGTTCCATGGCATGGATTGTGCCTGCTACCGCGGTGCGGAGGTTGCTTTGCTGGGAAGCGCAACATCTCCAATTTGTTCTGATCGCTGTTTAAAGACTGCTTTGCAATAGCTGGATGTCTGAGCAGGTGGATGAATAAATAAATAAGATGGCAGACGACAACACTGGATGTATTTAACATCTGATGCGTTGTGTTTCCCCATAGCCTGCACGTTCAAAAGTCAGTGAAAGTGGATGGCCGTAGACTGCAGAAACAGATTGACAGCAATAAGAGGTGGCTGGAAATGCGAAAGAAGGACAGCAGCATGTATCCTTTCATCACACAATTATCTGAAATGACTCTTGATTGTTGGTTATGGTCTTCTATTTCTGATTTTGAACACAGTTTTTATTTTCCACACGATAAGGCCCACCTAAAAGCATTCAATTTTCTCAAAAGCAGACAATCCGCCTTATAATCCGATGCGCCTTATATAAGGATCATTATTCTGATTTCTCGGATGTATTATTTAACATTTTCTGTAAAGCGCTTTGTTACAGCTGCGACAGTTGTGAAAGCTCTGTATAAGCTGTATTGTATTCCCTTTAGTGGAGCTCCATCTAGTGTATGCATAACACAACTCTAGCCACTATTGTGGCTTCTATTCTGTGCGCCTTATAATGCGGTGCACTCAGTATATGAAAACAGTTTTAAAATGAAGGTGCACCTGATACTCCAAACCATTCCATTCCATTGCTGTACCCTACAGTAACTCTCATACCAAGATGGTGCATTTTTCACTCATAAACTCTATTTACTGTCTGCTCAGGAAAATAAAATTGCCATTCTTTTTTTTTGTGATATCCTCATTCCGTTTTGGAGCACTCTAGAAATAATTAATAAAATTAAAAAAATCGATACCCACGTTTTCATGTTTCTTCAGCAAAGAAAATGAGACTTAAAAGGTTTTTAAACCCTTACCTTATGTCACTTATAATGTCAAAAAACTGCAATCAATCATCACCAAAGTTGATTTGGGCATATCTACTTCAACCTCTGAAAATGTCACACCGATAACACTCTCCATAGGTGCACACTGTAAGAGATTAAGGAACTAAGCATCTTACCTTTTTGTTTTTTCTTCAAAGGAATAAAAATAAAATAGGTTTGTATAGAGCCTGTCAAGACCACCAAGGAAACTTAAGCGTCTCACCGCCAAGCCTGAGGAGCCGCATGGATATTATAGGCAGCAACACAAGGGGAACCACCATCCATCTTTGGTCAATTAAGCCATTTCATTCCAAACTCTGAAACACTTCATCTTCCAAGTCTGAATCACTGAAATGATCACTGCTAATTACACTCCTCTAACCTGGTCCATCACATTTCTTTTGTTTTACTAATTTCTTCAACTTTCATGAGAAAATTTGCAACCCGCAACCAAGGAAACAATAGCATTTAGCTTGCGTGGTTCTCAAGTTTACATCATCAGGTTCACAGAAAATTGACATTTTAAGCTGCAGAAAACATGCCTAAACTTGCGATGTCTTTTTTTGGGTGGATGGGGAATGGACATAATTTTTAAGTCTAGAGCAGTGGTTCTTAACCTTGTTAGAGGTACCGAACCCAACCAGTTCATATGCACATTCACCGAACCCAACATTAGTGAAAAATAAAAAAATTTTTTTTACAAATTCAAGACATGAAAAAAACACACATTTATTAAAAACAGAAAAAAGTACCGTAAATTCCGGGCTACAGACCGCACCTGATTAAGAGCCGCATGCTCAGATTTATGAAGAAAATTCAATTTTGTAATTACATGCGCCGCACCGTACTATAAACCGCTGGCCAATGAGTAGGCGGGGGTTTGCTTCTGCGTCCCTGCCGCCGGGAGCGCCTCCGGGTGACGCTGAACCCCCGCAGAAAAAAACGCAACATTTCTTGAGGTTAAAATAATCTCCATATTTTTATGAGCATGATAAATGCATTTGCACAAGGAAATTACGCTGAAACACATAAGAGGCCAGACAAAGAGAGATCTTGATGCGCATTTGCGTAATTACGAGGAGAAATACTGCAGCCCACTCGGCTTTAAATAGAATAATGCAAATCATATAAATGGGAAAAGATATATAAAATTATTTCTATCGTCAGCCGCTTAAAAATGATCATCGTTGGCAGCTTTAGGCCCGATGTTGCGCGGCTCAAAACACAGGTAAAATGTGTTCTCTCGTGGCCGCTTGTTTTCAGTATGACGGGGGAAGTCACCTTTTTTATTTACAGTCCGAGTGAGAGGCAAATCAAATGTCAGACGGTCTTCGTCCATATTTATTATTTCATCTGGGCTGATGGAATTCTCCGCTATCTTTGTGTGAATGTGCGGAACAAAGCAAGTTTGTCCTCGTAATTGGGAGG